GTGATTTTCTGAATATCGCATTGCCCGTTTTTTGTGTACAGTTGCTCAGATCCAGTTTGCAAGATTTATCACTTGTGGAATAATTTGGATTATGCAGTTGATTTTGCCTTGGAAGTCTCTCATTCCCCATGTTAGTAGATCAGTGTGCTTGAGCGTTCAGACTAACTTTCACAGTAGAAAAGCAGGGAGCCAGTCATGGAGGTACCAGCTCTGATGTTTTCTGATTATGGCTATCACAGAACAGAGCCAATGTTGTATAAAATGTGAGCCATCTCCGTGTTCTTCACTTAGCTAGTCCCTTCAGATTCAGAATACGTTACTTTAATCATTTCCCTTTTGGGATTAATGAAGTAATCTGTATCTGCAGGAATGATGTAACCTTTCTTTTCAGTGTTTTGTAACAACTCCTAGCCCAGACAAACACAAATCCTGATACGCTTATTGCACTTATCGTCCATTGACACCTATATATTGTGGTGAACATTCGCTGATACAGGACAGCTACAGCGCAGCACTTCATGCATAGTCATGCTTACATGTGTTGTGATGCTCTGCCTCCAAAAATGTTCACTGCTAGCTGCATGCTGATGCATTGGCAGCCCACTCATTTGAGAGATTGTGGTCCTTGGTTTAATTATAGACTCTTGCATTTTTAATACAGTATACTTTTTTTTGGGAGGTGAGGGGAGAGTTTAGCTATACTTCTTTTTTTTTTTTTTTTTTTTTTTTTTTTAAGTGTAAGTTCACCTTTTACAGAAAAAATTTAAATGTGAATTGGCACCCTACGCCCCCCGGTCTCCACTGCACTTACCTTAGTGCATGATACAGTTTCACTGTCCACACAGCCTGGTGCAGTGATCTTGGGGTTTGAAAGCCATGCTGCTGGATGCTGGTGCAGATTAGAATAGTTCTGATTGGTTAGTGTGGGTCACATGCTAGTGCCGACAAGTCAGGACTTCTCTGATCCAATCCAACATCCTTAGGAATAGAAGGGGAAAAGAACCACAGTTTTCAAATCCTAGGAATTCTGCATCACGCTGTGTGGATAGTGAAACTGTATTGCCCATGGAAGGATGTTGTAGTGGGGGGGAGGTGTGTTCTTCCTTTTTTTTTGCCTAAAAAAAGTGAATTTACACTTTAATGTACATTTACAGATCACTCAAAGAATATAAACTAAAACCTGATTGATGTTCCTTTTTGGTTTAGGAGCGCCGCTAATCTAAAACCTCTGATTTGCCAGTCACTGTTCACATGACTATTGACATGCCCCATGCATTCCAATGCCTGTTGCAGCTAATAAGCGGTTCAGGCCTCTGGAACTGCATTGGGTTAGGGTAGGTAGTTTGCATATTTGCACACACTGCACTGCCAAGCGACAATGCTACAGTGTTAGCGGAGGTTATCACTATGAAAAAAGGAAAATCTGAAAACTGCAGGTTGTAGTATATATGCTTTAGGTTACCCTCTAGATATGAATGTACCCATGTGTTCACACATCCTGCCTGCCTCTTCTTCCCCCCCCGCTCCCCCAGATGTGGTCAGAGCAGGAAAGAAAACGTATTCATGCTCCTGTGTGACACTCTCTTGATGGAGCTTTTTTTTTTATGCCCCATCAACTGCAGCTATTACCTTTTTTGGGAGCATTAAAATCCTATAAGGGTTCATTATCCACTTGTGGTTCATCTTGGACAGCCCTGAACAGCTGATGCATGACCATTATACTAGAGCAGTTTACAAACGTACCCATGAAGATAGAGCGGTCCGCGGATCATTAAAACTAAATGCTCCCTTACCTTAACAAGCTGTTTATATGTGTTATGAAACCTTCTGCACACTGTTGGTCTCTCTTAATGATCTCCAGCATTAGACTGGCTTCAAGTGGCACTCCGAGCAAATGGCCCAAAAGGCAATTGAAATACAAACTATTTACTGCTTTACCTGCCAAAGATTTTTGCAGTTCTGTACTACTGGTCTCTCTTAAAGCGGAGCTCCACTCAAATGGAACATTCCGCTTTAACGCTTTAAGCCTTTGTCCCCCGCTCCCCATTATTATTGGCACCTAGCAGGTATCCGCTCCCACTTGCGCTGCGATCGTCTAGGCGATTGGAAGCAGAAGTTGTCCTCCCACCCCGTAGTCTTCTGGGACACGTGACAGGTCCCAGAAGACTGCGGGGCCATTCACAAAGCGCAGCGCTTCTCACGCATGCGCAGTGGGCACCCGGCTGTGAAGCCGCAAGCTGTCAGTCTGGTGCCCACGCTGAAGATGCCGGCATCAGGGAGAGAAGACCGATGGGGAAACCAGCGGTGGTGAGGATACCACTGTACCGAGGGACAGGTAAGTGTCTGTATTTTAAACGTCAGCAGCTGCAGTTTTTGTAGCTGCTGATTTGTATTTATTTGTTTTAGGTGGAACTCCGCCTTAACCTCCTAGGCTGCAGAGTTAGGATGATCATTCTTCTGCTTCCTAGTTTTGCTTTACAGGGACCTTGATCACGTCTCTGCTAATTGGAAATTGCCCAGAAAGCAGATCTAATGCCATCTGGACATTCATCCCTGGGCACCTACAGCCCTGAGCATTGGCATTGTACCTACTGGTAAAAAGTCCAGCTGCCGCAGCATATTTCATCCTCTCATTGAGTGTGGCTGGACATTGCACCTGTGCCTTCCGCCTGCACCTAAATGCCAAGTGTCCATAGGCGCTGAAAGTTCAAACCCATCTAAGAATAAAGCGAGGGATTCATGGAAAATGAATTGAAATATTACATAAATGTGCAGCTGTTACTGTATTTGGTATAGTGACTGTTGGCTCACGGAGCAGCTTGGAATTCTCACTGTTGACTGAGCTGTGGATGTTGTCGCGTAGTGAAATGTTTTGGAAAACTTACTGCCCTGGAACCTGTCCAGGAATTGCCTCACCACAATGTCCCTGCCAAGAGTGCCGGAGTTCAGCTAGCTGGATGCTGCAGAGGTTTTGCAGGGCATCGTCTGCTGCACTTCGCTTACTAATGTCCTGAAGTTTCCTTTTCGCAGAGCCCGAAGTAATATTGATGCATACAAGTTCACTGACAACACTGCTCTTTATACACCCTTAAAGTGTAATTCCAGTCATACACTAACGAAGGCTAAAACTACTCACACCCCCATTCTAAAACAATTCCATCTACCCTGTTACAAGAGAGGGTCTTATACTTACCTTTTCTCAAGCCGCTCCGGTCACATGACCAGCTTCCAGCATGGGCTTAGAGGAGAGCAGTGACAGAGCCTTGGCAATGATGTCACCCATAGGTTCACTATGGGACAGCCATTACTGGCTGTCCTTCCTCATGTGACCGGAGCGGCTTCAGAGATCGGGGTAGATGGAGTAGTCTTAGAATGCGCGTGGGAGTAGATTTATCCTTGGTGTGTGACTGGAGTGCCGCTTTAACATCTGAAGAAAGCTGACCATTAACCTGGTAGGGTGGTTAGACCATTTTTTTTTTTTTTCCTTCCTCCATGATGTAGAATACCTTAGTTGTTATTATACAGGATTTATATAGCGCCAACGGTTTGTTCAGCGCTTTACAATCTAACAGGAGACAATACAGCAATGATGCAGTTCAATACAAGAGGCTTAGTTTTGTACTTTGAAACAAACTTTTTTGTTAAAGCTCAAATGAAATTTCAATTTAAATCTGATAAAAATGTTCAACAACTTGTTCAACATCTTTGATTTCATTCCAAAGCAGAAACAACCTGAGAAAAAAAGCCTGTACCCAGACTATAGCTGTAGATTGGGTCCCTTTGCTTTGGATGTAGTGGTCTGTCCAGTAGGTCCTCTTTGAGCAAAGCACTGTCTGTAACTCAGCAGAGGGCATGATGGATCTTGGTCTGCTTAGACACTTCCTGAAACTGTTGCCGGTGTCTGTATTAATCACATCAGTTCCCGAGCAGCCTCACCCCCTATCCTGCCTGGCCGCGCCCCAGCCCAGCACCATCTGTGTCCTCATTCATGAGAGCTCAAACACGCCTTTCACCTTGATCAGTTTTTCTTCCATTTTTGCCTTAACAAAAGTGAAGAAAAATGCACAACCATTAAATCCGATGGAGCTCTTCACACCAGCCAGTTGTTGGTCAGTTGAATTCTTTTAAAGTCCTGCTTGCTGTGTTTTTTTTTTTTTTTCACCAAAAACACACCTCCCTATGGAAAACGTGAAAAAAAAAATGCACCCGTAGTTGGGTTTCTGGTGCGTTTATGGAGTTGTCCTTTTTTATTCCACAGGTGCAAAATGCACTAAAAATGCGGCAAAAACGCATATGTGATCTTGCCTATCTAGCCTATTCTAGTCTATCTGCTGGGGCGTGTTAGCTTGTTGATTAAGCACGTGATTGTGTGAAACGCGTTAACAAGTTCTGTACACATGTTCCGGTGTTTTGTGTGTCGTATGGATCAATAAATATTTGTTACTATTCATCAATCCTCCAGGGTGCGGCTAACCCTTCTTCCTATTGCATGTTAGCTTGTTGCCCTCCCCTCATATTCAGTGCTTTGCATTATCCCTGTCGTAATAAAGATAACTCCCTGTGTCCTGGGATGTACGATAAGTAAAATGGGATTTTTGGTTCATCTGTAAAATCCTTTTCTTGGAGTACATCACAGGACACTGGGATCTTACACCTCTGCCCAGGGGCGGACTGACAACTCATTGGGCCCCTGGGCAATAGGGGATCATGGGGCCCCTGTGTCCTTGCCCAAACACAAAAAAGCCTATGACAAAGGTACCAGGGGCATCTCATGGGGCTCCCTACTGACCCCGGGCCCTCGGGCAGTGCCCAAGTTTCTAAATGGTCAGTCCACTCCTGCCTCTGCCTTTTTGTGCTTCATGGCTTGCTGCAAAAACTTAAGCTGTGCCTACTGGGATGGGGTTGTAAATGTTGTCATGTGATGCATTTTTCCTTTTAAGCAGCGACTCTTTAAAGGTATGTTTTTATTTAACCCTTTCCCTGAACTTTTTTTTATATAGCGTCCAGTGGCTCCAGTTTAAAGATTACTTCATGTTCAAGCTAGAGAAGGTTATGGATGATTTCCGGACAGCTGCGCCAGAGCCCAGAGGACCTCCTAATCCAAATGTGGAATATATCCCTTTTGATGAAATGAAGGAAAGAATACTTAAGATTGTCACTGGCTTTAATGGGTAAGTTCGGAGTCCAAAATAAATAAGCAGCTATAACAAAAAATCTGAAACACCTTTTTTAAAAATGAATTCCAAAAGACTTTTTTTTTTTTTTATCCTGATTATAATAAAATACTGTGTAACGTAAAAAAAAAAATTATCTTTTAAAGTGGAAAGAAACCCACTTTTGTATCTTTTATCCACAGGTAAGCTTACAATAAAGCTTACCTGTAGGTAAAATGAATATCTCCTAAACGTGCTACGTTTAGGAGATATTCGCTCAATTTGTCAGCTGACGCGTGAGCTCTGGGGGAACGGCATGCGCGTGAGCTCTGTTGGAACGGCATGCCCGTGCCATTCCTTCAGAGCACTGTGCTGTGCCCTGCGACGTCATCACGGCTCTGCCATTCAGATGACTGGACCTCGTGAACCTGAAAGGAAGATCAGGTGAATATGGAAGCCTCTGCAGCGGGGACACCGCGCTGCTGGAGGACTTTGTTGGAAGGCAAGTCCTGCATAATGTGCTAGTGTGCGATGCATATTGGCACATTATGACATTTTACGTTTCAGGGGATTTTTTAAATGTCTTTTCTCAAGCTGCATTCTACTACCGCTTTAATCTAAACTGTGTGGCACAAGTGGGACCCTGTCGCCATGACCATTCGTTTCAACAAACCTATTCCCATAAGATTGTGTTTGTTGTAACATTTTGTGCCTGTTTTTTACGTGTAAAAGCCTTGTGTAAACCTCCAAAAGCTTTGAGACTGCTGCTGGATGCCCCTTTGGGTCAGTGATGGCTGCTGGCATCACATTCATAGAGTGGTCACTCGGGTGACTTTTAGTATTGCTGTTTACTCCTTCCCTGGCAGCTGCAAAAAGGTTATGTAGTGAGGAGCTGGGACAGCACGGGGAGATTAGAAAAGGAGAGCTAAGGCATACAAGGAGGTTGTGCATGCTGTGCTAGGTAATTAACTTTTTTTTTTTTTCTTAAATTCAGAGGTGTGACTTGCATACACATCTGTGCAGGAAGTCCTACAGATGTCTGCCAAGTCGCACTGATGTGCGGCTTTGAAATCGCATGATTTCAAGCAAAGTCATGTGGTTTCAAAGTCGGATTCAGTGTGAACCAACAGAGGAGCTCTGCACTGGCCAGGAAGTGAGAAGTATTCAATGTATCCGTGTGAAAATGTTCTTCTCTGACCTCAGGAATGTAAGAAAATGGTAACATTTCATCAGGTTGCTTTGTGAATGAAAGAACGCTACAATGATTTCATAGTTTTACAATCTCGCTGTGTGCCTTCTGGTGCGCTGTTAGCCTGCTAAAACCCCCCCGAAAATAACGCAACGGTTAAATGCAAAACACTAATATTTTTGCATTTGGTAAATAATGCATTTTTTTTTTTTTTTTTTTTAGTGAATTGACTGACTACTTTTGAGATGAATACCGCATCAGTTATTTTAATGCAAAAATTCATGCAGTATTTATCCCTTAGTGAATCGACCCCCATGTTTCTTCTGCAGTGACATCTGCCTGCCTGCTTGCAGTCTTCTTCTTTTGAATGTTCGCTGAGCATGTTGAAGGTGGCAGCATGCATCTGTTTAATTCTGTAATTGCCACAAAAAAATGACAGCATTGTACACAGGGTTGTCCATTTGCTGTTACACCGGTGCAAATTGTCATTTGATTTGACAGTTCCAAATCACAAGTCGCACTCTATTTTCGGCTATGGAACCGTATTTTGAAAATAGTCCCAGCACTATTTTTGGCAATTTCAGGTGCAACTTGCATTGACATCTGTGCATGAAGTCGCACAGATGTCAGGCAAACCGCATATGAAATCGCACCACTTCAGCGGCTTTGAAATCGTGCTGCTTCAAGTGAAGTAGCACCTTTTTTTTTGTTTTTGAAAATTCTAGGGATGCACAGAAATTTCGGTGGCTGCAACGTTTCGGCCGAAAACACCCCTATCGGCTGACATGAAGAAAAGCACCAATACAGGTGCCGAAAAAAAAACCCCCGCCCCTCCCCACCACTGCCACCACCAGCCGCTGCTCGGTAGTTCAGCCTTACCTGAGAAACCATCAATCCCGGTGCTGGGCATAGAGATGAGTGAAGGAAAGATGGCCGCCAAACCTTGGAGGACCGGAGCGATGTCAATTCCTGTTCCGGCCTTTTTTTTTTTTTTTTTTTTTTTTTTTTAATCAAGTGCTTTACATTGCGGAGGAGAGATGTGGGGTCCTATAAAGAGGACCTGTCGCTAATTATTTCTATCACAAGGGATGCATGCATTTCTTGTGATATGAATAAAAACGTGATTACTTTTTTTTTTTTCTTTTAAAAGGAACAGTGCAAAAAAAAAAAACAAATACATTTTTGAAAAAAAGTTTAAAGTGCCCTGTCCCCCTGTGCTCGCACAGTGGTGAACGCATATGTAGGCCACGCCCACATATGTAAATGGTGTTAAACCACACACACAGGTGAGGTATCATCAGTGTCCGAGCATGAGCAATAATGCTCGCACTAGACCTCCTCTGTAACTTTACACTGCTATCCTGTAGAAATTTTTAAAGCATCACCCATGGAGATTTTTAAGTACCACAGTTTCATGCCATTCCACAAGCGTGCACAATTTTAAAGCGTGACATGTTTGGTATCTATTTACTTGTCATAACATCCACTTTCATATGTTACAAACCAATTGGGGTATATATTGTCTTTTTTTAATCAGTGTATTTTCCAAAAAAAAGCTATTCATTTTTAAAAACTGAGCATTTTGGTTAAGTGCATTTTGAATTTTTGGTTTTGGCACCAGAATTTTCATTTCGGTGCACCACTAGAAAATTCTCTTAGCTTTGAAAATAAAAAAAAAAAAAAAAGTACAAAACAAAGCCTCTTGGGCATACCCAGGCTGAGTTTACATATAAACAACATAAAAAGAACCAATAAAGTGCAACCACACAATTCAAGACTGTGTCAACCTAAACCGCAATGGTAAAAACAAAAAATATTACTCCCCAACCTTTGTTATGGCAGAAACAGCATGTAGTGGGCTCATACCACCAAAGAAAGGAAGGGAGGAAAAAAAAGCACATTGAATACAAAAAGGAAAGAGAACAAAATATCCTAGACAGTGAGTTCACACAGTGCTACCACTTGAGGGGGTTGTTGCAGAGGAATCAACCCAAATATCCCAAATTGTAGAGAATTTATTAGGGCAGCCCCTAGACTCGTAGGTATATTTATACAATGGGATGCTGGAGTTGACCATATTTTTCCAGAAGTCAAGTGTGGGAGTTCTAGGAGCCTTCCACTTGAGCAAAATGTCTTTGCGAGCATAGAACAATGAGCCTATCAATGTTCTCATCGCTCTGGACATGGCTAATAAATGGACAAGACCCAAAATGCATACGTCAACCGTCAGTGGTACAGATATCCGTGTACATTTAACCACTTCCAGACCGGACACTTTTACCCCCTTCCTGACCAGGGCAATTTTCAGCTTTCAGCGCTATCACACTTTAAATGACAATTGCGCGGTCATGCAACACTGTACCCAAATGAATTTTTTACCATTTTTTTGAGACAGATAAAGCTTTATTTTGGTGGTATTTATTCACCGCTGGGATTTTTATTTTTTTTGCTATGTAAATGGCAATGTCCCAAAATTTTGAAAAGTGTTTTTTTTAATAACATTTTGCAAATAAATAATATTTCATCATAAATCTTGGCCAAAATTTATTCCGTTATCTTTTTAGTAAAAAAAAAAAAATCCAAATCAGTTTATAACCAAAAATTATCATTTTTAAACTTTTTTTTTTTTTTTACATTTTTATTTTATTTTTTTTATATTTTTTTTTTTAACATACTGTTACCCCCCACTACTTGTGGGGGGTGATGAAAATTTGGCCAATCAGTGATCACATGATCGGGACCTCGTACAGAGGTCCCGTCCGACGATCGGTGTTTCACTGTGTCCGGAGGACACAGCGGGCACCGGATCGCGGTGCTGCGCGCTCCCAGGGAGCGCGCACAAGCAGGGTGCGGGGAGGCCGTTTATAAACGGCCACCCGACCCTGCAGTGCCACCGTCCGGCTGTTTATATGCAACGGCCGGTCGGGAAGTGGTTAAGAATACACTCGGCTACATCATTCCTAAAGGACTAGACCCTTGGACTTTGCCAAAAGACGTGTATGAAACTTGCTGGGTCTTCTGAGCAACTCCTGCATGAGGCCGGGAGAGTAGGGTAGATCCTATTCAACTTCTGCGGGGTAATATAGATTCTGTGTAGTATCTTGATTTGAATCAATCTATTTTTTGTAGATACCAGTTGTTGCATAGGATATTCCCAGATGTCCTCCCAGTTCTCAGAATCCATGTCCGGAGCATCTACAGCCAGAAAGCCAACAGCCTCTCTAGGCCTACCTGAATAGTTGGGTGGAGGGATTGTACACATTAGACAGGGGTTTCTTATCCCATAATAGGCTCTCCAAAGCGGACTCCTCAAAAACAATCTATTATGAAATTGTGACAGGAAGGCGTGTCTTAACTGAAGATGGCAAAATAGCTTTCAGGGAGTCAAAGGTTGCAAGGGCTCCATGGCCACAAATTTGGTTGAGATATTTAATCCCTTTGCCAGCCCACACCCCTGGATCAGGAAAAATAAAGAACTCCGTAAGAGTAGGTGTATACCAGAAGGGCGTATGAGGGGACCATATATACGGGAGCTGTTGGGAATTCGAAGGTGCCAGGCTTTAATGAGGGCTTTCATATAATGAGTAATAAAAAGTGGCACTTTGATGCCTCTATACAATAAGTTGTGGAGTGCCTCATACGACCCCAGAAAGGCTGCCTCCAGCACTACAGCTGCATTGGTCTCATCCGGGAGTAACCAATTATGAGCGTGAGTTAGTAGAGCAGCAGCATAATACATATAGAGGTCAGGACAGGCTGGGCCCCCTTGTATTCACGGTCTCTGGAGCACTTTTAATTTGAATCTAGGTTGTGATGAGCCCCCTAGGAA